AATCAGAGAACACTGTATAAACATCAGAGGTCCGCGGCTGTTCAACGTCCTCCCAGCGAGCATCAGAAATATTGCCGGAACAACCGTGGACATCTTCAAGAGAAAACTAGACTGTTTTTCTAAAAGACGTTCTGGACCAACCGGGCTGTGGTGGGTATGTAGGCCTGCGGGCTGCTCCAAGCAACAGCCTGGTGGACCAAACTCTCACAAGTCAAGCCTGGCCTTGGGCCGGGCTTGGGGAGTAGAACTCCCAGAACCCTATCAACCAGGTATCAACCAGGACAGATGTTCCAATAATACGGGAAGTAACGGAAACCCTCCCGAACTCTCAAGAACACAGAAACAAGCACAAGTCACGATAGGACATAAAGGCACAGTCGCACCCATAACCAAAAGTCATGTAGAACCCAAAGAAGAGGAGAACATGACAGACATCTCGTCCCAAGAAAAGGGGGGGGGAGGAATAACGAAGAAGAGCACCCACCTAAAGGACAAAACCAGAGGCATTAAATATGCCAAAACAAGAAGACAGAAGAAAAAGAGGTGATATAATCACTACATACAAAATAGTAACAGGAATTGATAAAATCGATAGGGAAGATTTCCTGAGACCTGGAACTTTAAGAACAAGAGGTCATAGATTTAAACTAGCTAAACACAGATGCCGAAGAAATATAAGAAAATTCACTTTCGCAAACAGAGTGGTAGACGGTTGGAACAAGTTAGGTGAGAAGGTGGAGGAGGCCAAGACCGTCAGTAGTTTCAAAGCGTTATATGACAAAGTGTGCTGGGAAGACGGGACACCACGAGCGTAGCTCTCATTCTGTAACTACACTTAGGTAAAAATAATTATAATTACCAACCGACTCAAGGGACAAGGAACCAAACCCGGTGAGGAGCCGACGCCGAAAAACTTGTACGGGGGAGGGGGGGGGGGAACCTCACTCCACGTGAGGTTTCTACCCTCTCGTAAGCCCTGCCTAGAGGGTAGAAACCCCCCGCGAGATCCAACGGGGCCCTAGGCCCCCCCAAGGCAGCTCCTCCCCAGCCCCGGGAACCCACACGGCAGGCCCCCGGGGCCGAGCCGTCCCCCCAAAGCCCTGGCCCAACTAGCAAAAACTGGGGCAGCCGCAAACATACTAAGGAAGGGAGCCCACTGGCAGACTCTTACAACACGGCTGGAGGAACGTCGCTACCCCGGAAGGGAAATTCCCCGAGATCGCCCGAGTTTCAAAAGCAACGACCCCGCCCCGCCCCATACCCACAGACAGTAAGGATCCGGATTCAGGTAAAAAGGGGGGACCAGAGTAGATCACAACAGGGGAAAGACAAGGGGGCGTGGAAGAAACCGAAGCAACCAACACCCCCAAGCCCCAACACCAATCAAAACAGGGCAGCCTCGGGGCTTCCGGGGAGTAAAACTTGAGAGCGTTACCACCATCGAAGCTCAACGTGCAACGCCCGTGCTGCCTGCACCAGCAGTCAGCATAAGACTGGGTAACCGAGCCACAACAAGCAACAAAACTCGCAGGACTCTGGGCCGAAGGTATCACCGACCCCACAGGCAGCAGACGGAGGCAAAGACAGAGTGTCACCCTGAGACAAGGGGTGAGAGCAACCCTCGAACTCGCTGGAAGCGAGGGGGGACTCCGGGGTCACATCCATCGATCCCGCGTGCCCTCAGGGGCTTCCCAGGGTCCTGATCGTTTATTATAAGAGGAGTCGCATTCAGGTTATCCCAGGCAGGGTACTGCTAACTGGCGCCCAAAGCTACCAAACAACCTTCTAAGAACAGAACCCCCAGGACGTGTACACTCAAGGGGACCTAGCAGGGGGAACCACTGGAAGAAGGAAGAATACTCAGTACACAGGGGGCAAGAACGAAGGTAGACCCCCACCAGGCAGATAAACAATAAGAAAAAGAAAAGCCCACAAGAGGACAGCGTACTCAGGTGGAACAGAGCCGGCTGCCATGATTGGTGAAAACAAGCTACGCAGCACCCTGCGCCCCACCAGTGCAAAACTGCCCCTTATCCTAAGGTCAACAAGGGAGACAGAACACCCAAGCACACAAAGAGCGGCCGAAAACCAAGCAGGAAACGGCCTAGCAGAGGCAGAACCCAAAGAACTTGTGGACGGTGGCCCCAAGCCCCAAGGGAAGTATTTACAGGGCACCAAGGGAAGGAAACCCTAGGCACATGCAGCCCGAGTACTGGAGAATCACTCCCGGCTCACGCACCACCTAGAAGGCAGTCACCACACTCTAGGTACAGTGCTGAAACAACCACTGGAGTCGGAGCACATGACCTCAGCCTTTAGTATCAGCCGAAGAAATGATGGTGGATAGCCGGCGCGGTAGGTCTGGGGCTCCCAGACCTTTGCTCGTTTCTTTTGGGGGAGTTGTATCCAACTCCTATGTATCCAACTCCTATGTATTGTTCGGCTGTGGCAGCAATTTTCATCAGAATAGGGGTTTTGTTTTGGGACGCTTACCTTTCTGGGTGCCTGACCTGGTCGATGGCAGACTTAGAATCCTTCCAACCATACGGAGGTTTCTATAAGCCATTGCTCCCCTTGCCTCTCTGAGGGGACCAGGTTCTGGCTCATGGTCCCCGGAAGCCAACAGAACTCCATACACATGACTGATGCCAAAGTCTGACATTAGCATATCAGCCTGGATAAGCTCCAGGGAGCCAAAGGCCCCCCCCCCCTAGAAACCTGGATTTTGCTGGAAAAATTTGAAATTTCCAAAAAGCTGGAAACCACTCCCTCCAGTAGTCACTGATAGGCGAACACAGCTCCACTTTACACTTTCACAATCTGTAGTCATCTTATAGGTTTCAAGAATCCATCATTAACTAGTTAGATTTTGAATATATTTTTATATGGAGAATGTTTATATTCTTTAATAACCCAAACCACACAAATGAAATGAAAGTTATGGCATTTTGGTCCATTCTAGACCCTTATGAAGGCATGACGTGATAAGGGTCCAAGATGGATTGAAACATTCTCACTTTCATCTCATTTTATGTGTGAATTGGGTTACTCGCATCAGCCATGTTACTAAGACATATTCTTTGTATATATATTTTTGTTACAGAGCACCACTTTGTTTCCAAACTTTAGTTATCCGAAACTTCCAGTTTCCCGATTGGGGTTGGGGAGTCATGCTACCCGAACGAAGTTCGAGTAGGAAGGGGTCCACCAAGCGTCACGCCGGCCTGTGGTGGTGGGTGGGAGATGGTCCAGTTTGCCCACTGTGACTTCACAGATTCACAGCCTATTATTCATATTATTTTGAATTGTCATAAGGCTGGAATGTTCATTCTGTGCTTTTGTTTTATATATGTGCACAATCAAGAAACATCTGTGCACCATGTCGGCTCCAAATGCACGCATTGCATCAGTACTGGTGGGTGGATGGATGGGAGAACTTAGGTGGGAGGCAGTATGATAGAGGGGGGAGAATCAGTGAGAGAGGGAGGGAGGGTGAGATGCTAGGAGGGAGGGGGAGGTGGGGAGAGATGCTAGGAGGTAGGCAGGAAGGGAGGGAAGTAGTGAGGGAGGATGGGAGGGAAAGGCAGGCAGACAGGCAGACAGGCTGGCAGGTAGGCTGGCGGGCAGGCGGGCGGGCAGGCGGGCAGGGCGGGCAGGCAGGCGGGCGGCGGGCGGGCAGGCGGGCAGGCAGGCAGGCAGGCAGGCAGGCAGGCAGGCAGGCAGGCAGGCAGGCAGGCAGGCAGGCAGGCAGGCTGGCGGCTGGCTGGCAGGCAGGCAGGCAGGCAGGCAGGCTGGCTGGCAGGCAGGCAGGCTGGCTGGCTGGCTGGCTGGCTGGCTGGCTGGCTGGGCTGGCTGACTGGCTGGCTGGCTGACTGGCTGGCTGGCGGGCGGGCAGGCGGGCAGGCAGGCTGGCGGGCAGGCTGGCAGACAGGCAGGCAGGCAGGCAGACAGGCAGGCAGGCAGGCAGGCAGGCAGGCAGGCAGGCAGGCAGGCAGGCAGGCTGGCAGGCTGGCTGGCTGGCTGGCTGGCTGGCTGGCTGGCTGGCTGGCAGGCAGGCAGGCAGGCAGGCAGGCAGGCAGGCAGGCAGGCAGGCAGGCAGGCAGGCAGGCAGGCAGGCAGGCAGACAGACAGAGAGGGAGGCAGGCTGGATGGCAGGCAGCGAGGGAGGCAGGTTGGCAAGCAGGGAGGGAAGGAGTCACGCGGTTGAACCGTGTGACCTTTGAGAGAGAGTATGAGATGTAAGGGGGGGGGGGGGGTGGTCGGTGGTGGTGGGGGGGGGAAGAGACCGGCTCACTCCTGAAGATAAGCCTAACACACTTGACCCGTTAGCATGATGGGAGGGAGGCAGGCTGGCTGGCAAGATGTTCCTGCAGGCTGGCAGGATGTTCCTGCAGGCTGGCAGGATGTTCCTGCAGGCTGGCAGCAGGCTGGCAGGATGTTCCTGCAGGCTGGCAGGATGTTCCTGCAGGCTAGCAGCCTGGCTGGCAGGCTGGCAGGCTGGCAGGCTGGCTGGAGGGCTGGCAGGCAGGAAACATCCAGAGGATGTTTGCCAGATGTCTTAATAATCAGCTAGGAACAATTAAGGACTTTTATAAGGCGGTTTGTACTTCACTTATTGGAGAGTACAAACAAAATACGATCGCATTTACGTTATGAACCTGTCGATTTTTTCCCCTAGTTTTTTTTTTTTTATAAATTTGTTGGAAAAATTTCTTTTTACATTTCTAGTTTATTTTTTCCCTCTATTTCTCGTTTATGAACTTACATGTTAATCGACGGGTCTCGTCCCCAAGGGGTTCGGAAACCAAGTGGTGCTCTGTATATCTTATCAAGTCAAGTACTACTTATTTACCGTTCTACCAGTTCTAACACCTGAACTTGAGATCAGTATTGTATCTATAACACTACAGATGTTAGACATACTACACTTTCCTTGCCACTAACTGAAAGCTAACACATACTGAACATACCTACACGACCTACAAGGGTTCTTTACTTACCTAATGAGTAAAAATCGTTCAGAGTGAGCTGTTTATCTCCGTCCTCGTACATGCCACCATAGAGATAGAGAACTCCACGCTTTATTGCCATTCCTGCATTGATTCTTGGGGGTGGGGAGAACACCTCTGTGGCATCACCTTCTGCTCTAGAAGCTTTATCAGATGCTGATGACGACTGTGAAGGTCCAACTGAAACCTGGAAGATACAAGACATACATAATTTCAATTTCAATTTGCCAAGTCTAAGATGGAGAATGGCAAACAAAAATATCATAGCAGGGAACCACCCTGGAAATAATCAACCACAGGTCAGAGAACTTTTGAGATTCTGTAACAAATTCTCAGTCAATCAACAGATTACAGAACCAACTAGAAACGAAAACACACTAGACCTGTTATTCACAAACAGTGATGAACTAATCAGAGACATTACAATCTCAGATACTACATACTCAGACCATAAGCTCATTGAAGTACAAACTAACATTAATAATGGTAGTAGGTCCAAGAGAACCAACAAGCGAGAAGGGGTATTCAATCAATTCAATTTCAACAATAAACTGGGACAAAAATAAATACAGACCTTACAAACATTCAATAGGAGACAGTCTTAAGCGACAAAACTCCCACACAGGGGATAGCTCAACTGACAGCTGAAACATTTAAGATCTGCGTGAAAACACGTGCCTGTGAGGAGGGTCTGAAAGAGGACCACGCTAGAAAGAGAATGCAGACGAATGTACAGGAGAAGGGGGAAAAAAAATAACGGAAATGCTTAACCATTGAACTGCTCGGCCTTTAAATATGACAAACTTGTGTGCTGAAAATAATTTGTTCCCAAAAAATTCTTTTCTGGGGGAAGCCCCGTCGGCTGCCCGGAGCTATCAAGGCTGATATGTAACTACAGTGGTACCTCGGAATACAAGTGTCCCTGTATATGAATTGTTCGGAATACAAGCAGGATTTGCTCGGAAAATTTACATCGGAATTCGAGCGTTGCCTTGGAAGACGAGGGTGTTGATACGCGTACAGGCTGACCTAGTGCATGGTGACACGGCAATCACCCGTCAGTTTACCAGTGCCTCGCTCCCAGTGACTATCCCGCCTGAATTCTTCACCAGGATTTTCAGTGTTTTGTTGGATTTTTGGCCATTTGACTATAAAAGTTGTTATTATACATCTCACCATGGGTCCCAAGAAAGCCAGTGGTACGGATCAAGGCAAGAAAGCGCATGTGAGGATGACAATTGATGAAAAACAAGAGATCATTCGGAAGTATGAAAATGGTACACGTGTTGTTTAACTTTGTAGGCAGTACAACAAAGCCACGTCAACAATATGCACTATACTTGGCAAGAAAAAGGACATTATGAGTGCTAAAGTGGCAAAAGGCATAAGAACAATCACAAAACAAAGACCACAAATACTTGAGGAAGTGGAAAAGTTGTTACTAATTTGAATACACAACAAGGAGTTAGCGGGTGATAGTGTTTCAGAGGCCATCATTTGTGAGAAAGCCAGGGTATTGCACGAAGATCTTGTAAAGAAAACCCCTGGAACGAGTGCAGATACGATAAACTTTAAGGCAAGCAGGGGATGGTTTGAAAAATTTAGAAAAAGAAGTGGTATTCACAGTGTTGCGAGGCATGGGGAGGCTGCCAGCTCAGACAAACCAGCAGCTGAAAGATTTATTGAAGAACTTAAAAGAGTTTGCAGAGGCTGAGGGATACCTACCGCAACAAGTTTTTAATTGTGATGAGACAGGACTGTTCTGGAAAAGATTGCCTAAGAGGATATACATTACCAAGGAGGAAAAATCATTGCCCGGACACAAGCCTATGAAAGATAGGTTTATGCTTGTGCTGTGCTCAAATGCGAGAGGCGATTTGAAAATTAAACCCTTGCTAGTGTATCATTCTGAAAATCCAAGGGTTTTCAAACAATATAAAGTGCAGAAAACCCATTTATGTGTGATGTGGAAGGCTAATATAAAAGCATGGGTGACTAGGCTTATTTTTTCGGAGTGGGTGAATGAAGTGCTGTGCCCTGCCATAGAAAAATATCTGCAGGAGAAACATTTGCCACTCAAAGCCGTGCTTCTCCTCGACAATGCTCCTGCTCATCCTCCAGGCTTGGAAGATGAATTGTTGCACAGATACAGTAATTTTCTCACAGTAAAGTTCCTTCCTCCTAACACCACTCCTCTAATTCAGCCTATGGACCAGAAAATCATAGCGAATTTTAAGAAACTTTATGAAAGGGTATTTTTCCGGAAATGTTTTGAAGTGACTGAAGCCACAAAACTCACCCTCAAAGAGTTCTGGAAAGACCACTTTAACATTTGTAGTGCTTTAAAACTCGTTGACAAAGCCTGGCAAGAAGTGACTCAAAGAACCCTGATCTCTGGCTGGAGAAAATTGTGGCCTGAATGTGTGACAGAACTAGACTTTGAGGGATTTGAGCCTGTAAATGATGTGCCTATTGTTGAGGAAATCGTTACTCTGGGCCGGCAAATGGGCTTGGAATTGGATGGTGATGATGGAGGAGTTGGTGGAAGAACACAATGAAGAACTGACCACCGAAGAACTCCAAGCCCTTCAAAAGGAACAGCAAGATGACACAGCTGAGGATGTTTCTCCAGTGGAGGAGGATGAGGCAGCAGCGAATGTGCCTTCTACACCCATTAAGAAGTGGTGTCAGATGTGGGAAGAAATGCAAACTTTTATTGAAATGACTCACCCAGAGAAAACTGTAGTAGGCTGTTGCATTAATCTTTTCACTGACAATGAATGCCTCTACAGAAACATCTTGCGAAGAAGGGGAAAAAAACCAGTCATCAATGGACCGCTTTGTTGTGAGAAAATCGAGCAGTGAGTCACAACCAGGACCTAGTGGTATGCAGGCAAAACATGCCAGAGAATGCACTCCAGAGAGGTCCTCACTGCCTGATGTTATAATGGAAAGGGACTCCCCTTCCAAACAGTAACACCTCTCCTCCTCCCTCCTCACCATCTTCCATACGCCAACAGCAGTCATCAGCAAGGGTAATAACTTGAACATAGTTTTGAAGTGTAGATTTCGATGAATTAGGTATAAAATTTAGTTTGAAGTGAGGTTTTTGGGCAGTCAGGAACGGATTAATTCATTTCCCATTATTTCTTATGGAGAAATTAGTTTCGGTTTACGAGTTTTCGGAATACGAGCTGTCTCCAGGAACGGATTAAACTCTTAGACAGAGGTACCCCTATATTAGCTTTCTGGCTTCAGCCAACGTGCATGGAGTTCTTCCTACCGGGGACCATAAGCCAGAACTTGGCCCCCTCTGCGAGGTGTGAGGAGCAATGGCCTATAGAAACCACGGTGTGGTTAGAAGTATTCTATGTCTGCCATCGACCAGGTATGTCATCCAGAGAGGTTAGCATCCCAAAATAAATCCCTATACTGGGTAAAAATTGCTACCGAAAGCCAAACAAGTGGACAGAATTCCCGAAAAGAAAAACTAGCAATTAGCGTGACGTCATCACATCCCCGCGCCGCCGTCTGCACCCCCCCCCACTCCCCATGACGGGGAAGGGGGGAGCCCCAGACCCCTGCACCGGAGATCCAACCAGCAGTTCTTGGCTGATGTGAATACTGGCTAGATGGGTGCCTCTGGCTCCAGTTTTTGTTCTCAGTTCCTGTGCCTTGTGGCATGGGCTGTCTCTACAGGGGGTGTGCAAGCCATGGGTAATATTCTACGGTACTCCGGCTGCATGTGCCTACCTTGAGGTTACCTTGAGATGCTTCCGGGGCTTAGTGTCCCCGCGGCCCGGTCGTCGACCAGGCCTCCTGGTTGCTGGACTGATCAACCAGGCTGTTAGATGCGGCTGCTCGCAGCCTGACGTATGACTCACAGCCTGGTTGATCAGGTATCCTTTGGAGGTGCTTATCCAGTTCTCTCTTGAACGCTGTGAGGGGTCGGCCAGTTATGCCCCTTATGTGTAGTGGAAGCGTGTTGAACAGTCTCGGGCCTCTGATGTTGATAGAGTTCTCTCTCAGAGTACCTGTTGCACCTCTGCTTTTCAACGGGGGTATTCTGCACATCCTGCCATGTCTTCTGGTCTCATGTGATGTTATTTCTGTGTGCAGGTTTGGGACCAGCCCCTCAATTATTTTCCATGTGTAAATTATTATGTATCTCTCCCGCCTGCGCTCAAGGGAGTACAGATTTAGGCTCTTTAGTCGGTCCCAGTAATTTAGATGTTTTACTGAGTGGATTCTAGCAGTAAAGGATCTCTGCACACTCTCCAGGTCAGCAATTTCTCCAGCTTTGAAAGGGGCTGTCATTGTGCAGCAGTACTCCACTCTAGAGAGCACAAGCGTTTTGAAAAGTATCATCATCGGTATAGCATCTCTAGTGTGAAAAGTTCTTGTTATCCAACCTGTCATTTTTCTTGCAGTTGTGATGGCTACTTTATTGTGTTCTTTAAAGGTAAGGTCTTCCGACATGAGTACACCCAGATCCTTTACATTGCCTTTTCGTTCTTTGTTATGATTTGCCCGAGTTTTGTACGTGGTTTCTGTTTTTATATTTTCAATTTTTCCGTAGCGCATGAGCTGGAACTTGTTAAACACCCTATTATTTTCTGTAGCCCATAGAAAGACCTGATCTACATCTGATTGGAGGTTTGCCGTGTTGCCAACTATGTTGCCAACTCTCATGAAAATCCTAGTGTCATCTGCAAAGGATGATACAGTGCTATAGGTTGTGTTCTTGTCTATGTCCGATATGAGGATGAGAAAAAGTACTGGAGCAAGCACAGTACCTTGGGGGACTGAGCTCTTCACGGTTGATGGGCTGGATTTTATTTTGTTGACTATTACACATTGGGCTCTGTTAGTCAGGAAATTGTAGATCCATCTGCCTATTTTCCCGGTAATTCCTTTTGAACGCATTTTATGTGCAATAACACCATGGTCACATTTATCAAAAGCTTTCGCGAAATCTGTGTAAATTACATCAGCGTTTTGTTTGTCTTCTATAGCATCTAATGCCATATCATAGTGGTCCTGCAACTGCGACAGGCAAGAGCGCCGTGTTCTGAAACCATGTTGTCCGGGGTTATGGAGATGCTGTGATTCCATGTATTTTGTGATCTTACTTCTTAGCACTCTCTCAAAAATTTTTATGATGTGCGATGTTAGTGCTATCGGTCT